CCCCAAAACCCCAAAACCCCAAAACCCCAAAACCCCAAAACCCCAAAACCCCAACATATGAAATATAATTGAAAATTAGACAAAAAGGGTGCTTAAATTAAATGGCAACACTAATTAACATAAGAGAGAACGATATTCCTAACGGTAGGCACTTAAATAAATCTGTAACCTAATAGCTTTGGCATCTAATAGCTTGATAGATAGGTCTTAATAAACCAGCATCTTTTGGAAGTTAAGATAATTCTAACCACATCAGCATTTATTTTCAAAATAGTAGATATTAAATTGGTGCTTTATGAGTCAGATTCAAAGATATTACTCTTACCTCTGACATTCCCTCTTTAGATTCAAGTATTTGCTTGACTAACACAGCAAGGAAGAAGGGTAAACTAAGCTCTTTGTAAGCCTAACATCCTAATAAAAATAGATTCCTGAAGCTATGCTGCTGAGGTCCAGAAACTAAATCTGATGAGAGTAAAAGAGATAAGCGTATCCAAAGGTAATTCAGGAGTTTCTAAAGCGTTTTAAGCCTTCTACCATATCTTATCTCATGGTTTTCTTACCAATTTTATGATAGGCGCTCAGTATTGCCTTCCAGTAGCAACAATTCAGTTAAAAGTCAGAAGGAAAACCTGTTTAATAATGGTAGTAAAAAGACCTTCAAGGAATCCGAGGTACATATTCCTTATACCTAGTATTAAATCTGACATAGGCAGAAATCATTAAAGAAGAAAACATCCTCAATGACAGCACGAATCCTGGTATATCTCTTCACCAAAGGAGGAGATACCAAAAGAATATTGACCCTAAGGATACTAAAATATCCAGACCTGCTCATAACTTTGAGAGTGAAAAATATATCCTTAACAAGATGCTTGATGAAGGTAAGCACAACACTACTTTCTTTTCACTTCCAGCATTACTCATTGGCATAGATAAAATAGTTATTATCGATGAAGAAATCGAAAAGACGACCAACCCTAGAGCTTATGACTCCCAGGAAAGTGAAAGGAAATAGCAAGAAAAAGTATTATGGTCAGTTTATGCATAGGAGAAAACTTATTAAAAGAATCCCCAAGAAGAAGAGTACTGAACCCCTTCCCAAAATGACTGCGAAGAATTTCCATGGAGTTCATACACCTAAAGGAGGGTTCGACATCGCAGAGATTAACAAGATTACCCAGATCTTTAGAATTATGGAGAGGTAGGGAAAGGCACCTATTTTTGGGACTTATCAATCTTAAAATTATGTTTCACCTATTTTCTGGAAAATGGACCAAAATTCATATTTCCAAGATGTCATCAAAAATAAATTTCTAACGTGTTCATAGTGAAAGTAAGAAGGAATACTCAGAGATCGCTCAGAATTCTCAAGGGAAGGACAAATTGCGATCCCAAGACTCCTTCTCCAAGGAGGAAGAGAAAAAGACTCGTAAGTTATAATCTTCATCAAACCTAACTTCCTTTATAGCAAAGAGAGGTAGCTCTGAAGGAATCCGAGTAAGGGTAATTTGTAGTTTAAAACACTTGTAGTCAAGGACAAAGAAACCAAATCAACGAGCCAGCATCGCCATTCGGATGGAGGACCATGACCAAGATCCAAGGTAGGCTGATTTCCTTAATTACCAAATTTTTCTTAAATCCCCAAAATCTGATAAATCTTTAGTGATGGATCTATGCCAAGAGGCATCGAGAAAGCTATTAATATGTTGGATAACAATACGAGCGGGGCTCTAAAAATTCCAAGAAATCACTCTAAACAGGAAGGTAAGTTAGTCCTCCTTACTGAACACGTGAGTTTATTAATTGTATAGATGGATCATATGAAGATCTCGACAAAACCTCTTCATTAATGAGGCAGGACTCTGTATCAAACGAAGAATCTTCTAAGTAAATAACTCCATCCTGCTTGGATTAAAACATTGAACAAGCATACATATTTTTCTTATAAATTTCAACCATCGATTATAATTTGGGGTTTTGGGGTTTTGGGGTTTTGGGGTTTTGGGGTTTTGGGG